GAACACACATACCACGCAAACTCCTTACGAGAGTTATTTGTAAAAACAATGCTACTCACAGTTTGTGAATAGCATAGTTAAACGCGACATCTTTATGCGTACGTGTAAGAAAGTATGACGTACTGACATGTAAACGATAGGATTTTAAGGGGCATTGCCTATTACCCTCACAAAATTATTGTAAATAAACCACAACTGGATAGGAATTGGGTCGCGCCATCTGGTTGTGAACGCGCAACGCGTGTTGTGCAAATAGCTCTTGAATATGCCGGTTAGCGTTGACCCACCCGAGGAAACGTCCATTCTGTTTTCCACGGAATCACGTCATCAGCGAATCTGAGTTCGTGGTTCGCAGATTTGTGCTCACACTGCAGAACCGGATCAGTCTGTCGGCCATGGCTACGCGGAATTCGGCAATGAGGAAGCACTAAGCTGAACCAACCCTCGGGGATACAAGCGCTGCGGTGAGTGCTCTGGGTGGGGGTAGGCACGGTGGAGGATAATGTGGTGATTTTATCACGTCCCTGAACCTTTCTTAGTTCACGGCCTGTCTGATATTCTGTCTGGTCTGTTACCTGTACGGCCGCTTGCCAATTCGTGGCGCTACTAATTGGTCTTCGTATATGTTGGATACCAATTGCGTCCTGCCTGAGGACTAAGGCAAGACAGGTGAGAATATGTTGCTCAAAGCGGTTTAAATGGCTTTTGGTTTTCGTAAAGATGGGCTACCCGGACCCCTCGATTTCGTAACATTCAGGTATCCAGAAACTAGCTACATGATAAGCAATACTATCTGGTCAATTCTTTTTTGAACTAGGTTACCTGAGGGCGAACAGGATAAAATCGCGCCGTCAATCCCATTCTATGAAAATTGCTCGCAAATGTTGTAGCCCTATGTGGTTTATTCACGTGGTGTTATATTCCTTTGTGAATCTAGGCAATTGGTACAGCTCAACAAACGAGCTTATACACCATGGGTTACTTCCAAATACAGCAGAGGAACTGTTGGATTTTCCTTACCTTCCTACCCGCCCTGTTGCAATGTTGAAATAAATAGTCAAAGTGGCTAACGGATTTTATGCCGTAAATAGGTATAATTAGGGCTACTAAAATGCAGATATTAGTTATTTAAGTATATATTATCTGACGTCTATGAGTAACTTTAACCATGTTCCCTTCTCTCTAGCAGATTGCACCCCAAGAATGCTGTGCGCAGTCGAGTCAATATAGTCTTTCGACTGCCGTCCAAGGACCTGGAGAATAAATGGGTAGAGGGTGCTGAAGCCCTGGGTCTTCAGAATGTGCGGGGTCACAGGACCGTTGGTGGCCTGAGAGTTTCGCTCTATAACGCCCACACCCTGGAAGATGCTCAGATAATGGCCCAATACATGCTGGCATTCCGTCTACGCTACACGCAGGAAGAACTTCAAAGCAATTTGTGCAACGGAAATGGAAAAATTTAAAAAAAACTTGGTTTTGTCGGAGAGGAATGGTGCGTTCATTTTCATCCGCACTCGATTGGATCATCCTCTGTGAGATAATATTCTTCGAGGAAAGATTTAACCGCTTTATATGTTCGGAGTTCGTAAACATGCTACTTTTCGAACCCCTCTTTATACCTTTTATTGGAAGAAAATTCAGACCCTCTACGGATGATTCTTCTCCTCTATCTTGTCACTGAGTTCCAGAAATGTTCAGTGGGGCGAGGTAGAGTTGGAATTGTATTCTTGGCCGTGGGATTTACTTAGAAATTTGGATGGTTCAGTCCAAGTGAGACCTTTAAACAGGCTAACAGCAGAATTACCGGTAACAGTCTGGTTTCGGACTCACCACAGCAAGCGAAAATTAAAATGAGAAATGAAACCAACTGGAAACAATAACTCCGCAAATTGTGTAACTGCGCAAAGAACTGAGAATTTTCGAGACTAAAGTAAAACCATGTCGCTAATAAAACTAAACTAAATTAATAAAGATAAACAAAAATAAACTAGGCGAACTAAACCAAGACTAAAATAAAGGTTACAGTGGAAGCCTGTAAGTTGGGATTAAAACAGGGCAACAGTCGGTCACACGGGGAAGAGAGGTGGCGTGAGAAGACGGAAAAACGGCCCACCATGTGCCTCACAACAAGGGGATACTGGGACATAGACGTGCACATTTATAGTCAGAGCAGGGAAAAATAACTGGAGAGCAGGCACCTATAAGTTATCAGACTAGGGCTTGCGGTGTGTGCTATGAACGCAAACTGCGGACGTATTATGAAAATTTACGAATTTTAATAAAGAGACCTTCAATGTGAAGAGTAACTGAAAGGTAAGATGCCAGGGTAACACCAAGGGCCCCGAAAGAGGATATCTCGTTGGGCCGAGTGTCTTTAGATTCAGGACCAGGAGAGGATCGCATTCGAAAAACGCACTGGACAGACTTCTGGTCATTTTGTAGAAGGTCATTTGCTAACGACCATGCTGAGAGACGTGGTCCAGGGCATCTTTCAATACCTGGAGATATTTCCAACTTTAGACAGGATAGCTAAAAACCGTATCATCAGCGTATTTTACAAGCAAACATGCATTTTGCGATCGTCGGCCATCAGTGTGTAGGTGGAAGAGGCGAGGGGTTAAGATAGATACATGAAGAAATCCGCAATTGTTGGAAACAACCGTGTATTTTCGCTTGCCGCACTGAACGTATTGAGTGCGGGAAGTGAAACAGTCCCCAGACTAAGAGACAGCCCAGCCGGAAGAGCTCGTTGTCAGACTGTTGATCTAGCGGTTTCCGACGGGGCTGGATAGCGCGCGGAATATGTATTGATATCGTTGGCATAAATTCCTTCAGCTGATGTTGACGATTGCCGTCCGCTCCTGCCATCTCAGCTTCAGTGCTCTGCGGAGGCAGCTGATATGGATATGATTCAGCTTCCTAGTTTGCTTGGAGTAGACGGTCCCAGTTCCCGCTGCAAACAAATGTTTCATCAAGACGACGTTCTAGCATCCCTTCCGTCTCATGTTCAGCTGTAGGCTCCGGTGACTCCACACGGAGGCCTCCACCCGACCGAACGCTTTGGTGGCTACCGTGAACAACCTCTTTGTGCATTTTCGTGGTGCGCGACAGTGTGCTTCCAAGATACGCGAGTGTGACAGTTGTGAATGACAACGGTTCTGTCCCTGTTGACGGTCAGCCAAAAGTTGGCACAACTGGCGGTAAAGAGGTGTATGGACGCCTTTGCGCGTCCTCTTCCGTTGCAGTGTCGACCACAAAGTCGTCCCAGCGGAAAGGGTCGCGGACGGCAGTTGTAGCTCGA